GGTTTTAAAAATGGCGGCCCCCCGCTTATGCAAATGAAGCCCGGGAAATTCAAATCCCGGGCTTCATTTGCAAGTGCGGTATGCCTACATTACCCCGCTAGTTTGAACTAGCGGGGTAGTGTAGACATACCCTATCTCCTCACATTGTCCCAGCCCTCCCGTCCAACCAGAGACCCTCTCAGATGTCAGGGGGTGTCAAACTGCAAGGACACAGTCAAAAACCCACAAGGGGAGTAGACTCAGGCCAGCCTATGCACTCATCACTGGTGACTTAGCAAGCCCAGAGGCTGTAATGCATCAACAGAGAGATTGCTGCCCTCCCAGTTTCAAATGCCTGACTGCCTCTTTCACTAAGCCATGAAATGCTCATAAGCTTTTCTTGTCTTTGGCACCCGCTCCTGAAGCAGGCTTATGAAATAAGAGGAGATGTTTAGAGAGTCCCTTGTAATATACAATATTATGGAGTCTTAATGTTACGTATGGGGGGATTTGAGGAGCTGTCTTTAAAATCATGCCTTATTAGGGAGTACATGTAGATAGTGAGCTCTATAGCAGTAAAAGGAGCACGCGTGCTGGATACACACCAAAGTTCCCTCTAATTTTTTCCAGCCATGCGTGGAATAAATTTTATGTGCACTGAAGCATGTACAAATGTGCACCACCAATAATAACACATGCTGCAGGCTGTGGGCACTCTACTAGTGTTCCCTGCAAGCTCTGTGCTTGGGTGCCCAGGAGAGATTCAAATGCTGCCCAGCTATTTAGCAAACACCATGTATGGCTAGAATACATTAGTTGTATATATGAAATAAATATCAGGTAATGTCTGGCTGAATACTATGTTGGAAGCTTCCAATACATTTTCTAGTTCATTTCATTCTGGTGTCTTGTCCCTCTAGCTGGCTCTTCAAAATTTCTGTGCCATTCACACACACCATCCTTTAATGGGCACGTGCCTAATAAACAATCAACCAGTCATACAGCCACCGAGTGCAACAGTTTCAAGGCCTTGCCCCAGTAGAGAGGTGCTGAAGGGGAGGAATTGGCCACTGAGGGTTAGAGTAGCTGATTTACTGCCAAAGGGTTGGGTTGGGTTCACCCTCCCACCCCCTCCCAAGTCACTTTTCCCAGTCCCACACCCAGCTTGGAGAACACTGACTGCTGGGCCTTGATTCAGAGAGGCGTTTCTTCATTTTAGTTTGGAAAAAAGAAGATTAAGGGGGGACATGATAGCGGTTTTCAAATATCTAAAAGGGTGTCACAAGGAGGAAGGAGAAAATTTGTTCCTCTTGGTTTCTGAGGACAGGACAAGGAGTAATGGGCTTAAAGTGCAGCAGGGGAGGTTTAGATTGGACATTAGGAAAAAATTCCTAACTGTCAGGGTGGTCAAATATTGGAATAAATTGCCAAGGGAGGTGGTGGAATCTCCCTCTCTGGAGATATTTAAGAACAGGTTAGATAGACATCTGTCAGGGATGGTGTAGACGGAGCTTGATCCTGCCTTGAGGGCGGGGGGCTGGACTCGATGACCTCTCGAGGTCCCTTCCAGTCCTATTATTCTATGATTCTATGATCTCCAATTCGTACTGCTGTCAGGGTCTGGGGGAGGGGCTCTCGTCCCAGTTCTGCTTGCATTTATCCCTTCTCAAAGAGCCAATGCAGGGATTTGGGGAGTGAGGGGGAGAAAGGCCATTGCGTAGTTCTGGGTCAGAATAACCTCTGGTCTCGATGCATCACCAAGTCACACAGGTCCACGTGCAATGCTTTTGGCAGGGCCTTACTCCCCAACAGAACACAAAATCCAGTTCTGCCTAATTATAGTGTCCAGCCCATCTGTGAGCTGGTCTCTGCAGAATATTGGGAACTAAATAACATATGGTACTGTGGATAACCAGCCCGGCTTGGGCCAACAGCAGGGCTCAAACCCATGATTTTTGCACAAGCAGGAGAATTGCATGGAGAGCTATTTGGCAGAAGCTGCAGAAGACACAGAAACCGCATGAGTGACCTGACTAGTAGGGGGGAACAAAACCAGTATTCCCTCTAATCTTTTCCATCCATATGCAAAATAAATGTTATGTGCTCCGAGGCAGGTGTAAATGTGCACCACCAGTACAAACAAACACACACAAACAAAGCTCAGCTCATCTGCTAATCAGCGGGGTGGCATTTGAATCTCTCCTTAGCAGCTGCACAAGCACCCAGCCTCCAAGGAATACTGGACAAAACCCCACCTGCTCCCAGTCTGTGTCACAGAGACATGCAAACTGGGGCTTCCATATATTCTGACCCAAAGTATCTTGATCAACGGGACACCCCATGACACAAAAGGGACATCTACACTGTAGCACAGGACCCAGGGCTGGTCTGGGTCAGCTGACTTGGGCTACAAGGGTATACAATTGCAGTGTCGTTGCTCAGGTTGGAGCCTGGGTTCTGAGACCTTCCCCTCTCTGAATGTCAGTCTTACCATTTTATAGCCCAGCAGCCTGCACCCCACAAAGCTGAGTGAGCTGCCTCAGCCTCTGAGACTGGAGGCTACATGTTTTTAATTGCATTGTAGATGTTCCCTACAGGACTGTCCTTTTATGAACACACACTACTTCAGCTGGGGTAAAGAGAACACTGAGAGAAACAACCCCAGGGGCAGATGACTGTTTTGCAGGGCCCCGGGCAGCATAATTCCGCGGGGCCCCCCCCCTTTGCCACGGCGCATGCGCAGTGACGCCATGCGCATGCGTGGCGGTGCCACGGCGCATGCGCAGGGCTTTCTGAAGCGCGGGGCCCGGGGCGGCCGCCCCATTCGCCCTGCCGTATATCCGCCCCTGAACAACCCGACTAGGAGTCTTCTGGTCTGGATACAAGTCACACAAATTATCAGAGGGGTAGCCGTGTTAGTCTATAAGGTGCCACAGGACTCCTCGCCACAAGTCACACAAAGAGAGCCCTCATAATGCGAGATACAAGACATGGCTCCACCCTCCTTCTCCCATGGATACAGCCAACCACAGCAGATTAGTGCTACTAGTGCTACCTGGCTTCTCCGATCTACAATGGCATCCGCTTCCAGCCCGGGATAATTGTGCAGACACATCCCCCTGCAACAAACGGTAACACTGCAGGCACTAGGGGAGTTCAAACATTCGCATATGTTCCGTTTCACTGTTTACCCAGCCAGAACACATTAACCACTCTGCACATTTTTAGTGGCAGGTGGGAATACAGAGACCACAGCATGGTGAGTAGGTAATAGGGGTAACAGCTG